GACTATTGTGTGCCAGGCATTGTGCTGGGCACTGAGGGTACAGTGGTGAGCAAGACAGACAGGTCCCTCTGCTCCTGAAGTTACCATTTTAGTGGAAGGTGACAATCAATAAGCAAGTAAATAACAATAAAAGGTATATATCAGTTAGTGCAATAAAAATTAAACAGGGCAGTGGGATGCAAAGTAATTATGGGCGATAAGGTAGTGAATAAAGGAGGGTTTTTCTGGGGAGGTGACTTTCATGACAAGCAGGAGATGAGCTGGAGACCTTCTCACTTTGGATATGTAGCTAGGTTCTGGGAGAGAAGTCCTCATGAGGAGGGGATTTCCAAGGTCCTACTCGGGGCCACCACAGACAAGTGGCTGTAGCAGGAAGGAGGATTGCAAGGTAAGGGTTGCTCAGAGCCCAAAGTCAGAATGACTTGCTAAATTTGAGATTTTCTGGAAAGAGGCAGGAGAGCAAAGAAACTTTTAGCAGTGGAAAGGGAATTTTTTTCCTTATAGGTACTTATTAAGTTTAAACATTTTAAAATTAACTTTATTGAGATATAATTTAGATAGAATAAAGTTCACTGATTCTAAGCATACAGGTTAATGAGTCTTGAGAAACATAGACTCCTGTGTTAAACATTGCCTCTCTCAAGATATATAGAGCATTTCCATCACCCTAAATTGTTCCCTTGAGACCTTCACAGTCACTTCTGGCTAGGTATTATGCAGAATGTCCCTCAAATTGGGTTTGTCTGATGGCTTCTCATTATTGGACTAGGGTTATGTGTTTTTTGCAAGAATACCACAGAAGCGATATGCCCTTCTTATCACATTATATTGGGAGATACATGATATCATTATGTCTTTCCTGGTGATACCGGACTTGATCATCTAATTAAGATGTGACTAACAGATTTCTCCATTGCAAAGTTACTACTTTTCCCTTTGCAATTAATAAGTATCTTGGGAGAGACACTGAAACTATCCCGTAAATATTTGATTTAGCACTATATAAGACCTACATATTGAATTAGAGAGTGTTGTTTTGTTGAATTTAGTTTTACCAGTCAAGAGCATGGTCTATTTTTACTATTCGCCTGTTTTTATTTTTCTCATTCTTGTTTTATAGTTTGTTCTTTAATAAACATGGATCCGGATTAATGGGAAGACAGTGTGATAGGATGGAAAGAGCATAGTATTCAACATGAGGCAAACCTGGATTTGAATCCCAACTTTCCCACTCACTGGTTAGATGACCTTGCAAAAGGCCTGATTCGCTAATTTCTCATCCATAAAATGCGGCTGGTAAGAAACCGTCTCACAAGGTTTTTGAAAACATTAAAGCACTGAGTAGTATCTGGCACTCAATAAGTGCTGTGTAAATGTCATTTCTTGCCTCCTTTAATACCCAAGTGTTTAATATTGTTGTCACAATTGTAAGTAGACTCCTTTCTGGCAGGGTGGCCTTAGGATATAGGAATTCAACAGATTCTTTTAGATTTATTTTATGTTCTGACACCACAGAGGCTTTGGCTCAGGAGAAGCAGTGAACTTTTTACATGTCTCTGAGTCACTGGGGAGAAAGCAGCTGGATCTGTTTTAATTGACGGCAAATTATTGCAGCTCACCAGTATCTCCTATTCTAATACCTTTGCAAAACTCCTTCTTTACCTTTGGTATTTGGGGATTTGATTTTCACTGATGTACAAATATATGATTTGCAGAAGTAGCATTTTTTTTCTCTCTCTCCTGTATTTCTACTTTTTGTTTATTTTTCTTCTTTCATTATTAGAATTGTTTTAAGGTAGAATTTTAACACGGGTAATCTAGTGTGGTTCCTGTTTTTACCCAGAATAAATCTGAGTTTTTATTCGTTTTTTTTTGGGGGGGGGGGCGGAAGGCTGTACTCTTATCATGTTAAACAAGAGAGAAAACACTGCAACACCCACCCTCCCCCACTCCGTCTCTGATTTCTGATTTCTTAAGACTTAAGCAAAACTGCCTTCCTTGTTTGGTCTTTTTCCTTGTTCCAAATTTTATTTCCCCTTTTCTAAACTTTTAATTTGTTATTTGACATGAGGCAAACCTGGATTTGAGTTTACACTGCATTTTAAACCTGGATTTTATTTTTCTTTAAAGATTTTAAGTTCTTTAGGCAGGATGTCACTGTTTCTTTTTTTATTCTGATATAGGCTTTAAGGGCAACATATTCTCTAAATGCTGCCTTGGTAATCTCCCAGAAAGTGTTACTGTTGTCAGAAAAAGGGGTCCTGATCCAGACCCCAAGAGAGGGTTCTTGGATCTAAGGCAGGAAGGAATTCAAGGCAAGTTATAGAGCGCATGGAGAAGAGACAGTTTATTGAACGCTGCTACTCAGAGTAGGGCGTCCTCAGGAAGCAAGAGGAGGAATGACTTGTCTTTAAGTTTTCTTATCTAGTGGTCTTATTTTCTATGTAAAACTAAGTTACATCTACGTGCTGGTGGGCTGACAGCATGACAATTTATTATTTTGCTGATGTAAAGAAAACTATTCTTGGCATTTTAGTGTGTAAGCACATCAAAGCATGACTATAATCAACTTAAAAGCATATATTGTTATGCGATATTGGGACATCTGGACATTCTGCTGTCGTGGGCATTTATCCTTACGGGTATTATTAAGCTGTTTTCTCAGCCATAAACATCTTATGACCACGGGCGGTGACTGGCAAGGAATGTGTCTTGCTAGTTTTAACATGGAATTGATTTTAAAATGGTGTCACCCTGGCTCTCCTAGGCTCCTGTTTCTCTAACATTACTCCCATGAAATCAGTTTTACAAATTAATTTTTCCTTTTGCCTCAGGCTCCATTATGGCTTGTCATGGCACTGTTACTGATCCTGTGTATAAAAATTTTTGATATTTTGTTCATCATGGTTTTTTGGCATTAATTTTGATTTATTAAAATATTATTTGATTGTGGAGTTTTTGATCCCTGAGGCAAGTACCTCTCTCACCTCATTCCAGTCTAGTCCTGGCCTTGTAATAACCTCCCAGACAAGTTTTGCTTATAATTTTCTTTTGAGATGGAAGCCTGATATCAGAGAGACTGAAACTGTTATTAAGCCAATTGTACCGCCTGCCAGGAGAGAATCGTGTTTTCCTTTTCTGCTCCTTTCACCTCTTTCTTACTATATGCCAGACTCTCAGCTCAGCAGAAGTCCTTGTCCATTTCCAGCTGCTGGCATTGAGCACGGCCACATCGCTATTGGGATGCCCGGGGTTACTTCTTCATTTAGAGAGGTCAAAGGCCAGGGTCTTATTCTCCAGAAATAAACCCCAAGGGCTATTGAGCTCCTTCAGACCCTTGTCAGGGTCCCTGTGGCCCAAAGCATTCCTTTCTCTGCTGGAATCTGTCAGTTAGCTCTGGCAAAAATCAAGTTTCCTCACCCTCAGCTTATTCCATCCACACAAGTTTCCTTTAGAAATTATGGAAAAGAAACTTGTTCGTAAAATTCTCAAATGTCAGAACTGGAAAGGCCCTGAGAGACCATCTTGCCTCAACCTCTTTCATTTAACAGAACATGTAACTTCCTTTGCTCTATTTCCATGTTTCAAGGAATCCCCAAGGCTGCCGCATAATAAAAATCAGGAGCAAGGTAAGAGCCAAGTTAATCAAGGAAGTAAACTGCTATGGGACCCAGCTGTGCTCAGGGAGGACTGAGTCATTAGAAATGTAGCCCTGGCCTTGAGATTTGTTTATTAAGGATTTTCTTCAAGGGCAAAGAGCAGGATCTGTGATGGCTCAACTCCAAAGATTTTAATGGTGTGGGGTGAGACTGAAAAACATTCGATGAGCTTTCAGCCGGGCTGGAGAGTTTTAAACATCCTGCTTTGAAGAAGCCTGCCTTTACTTCTTCTATCTGACTGGGTCAGGCATTGTGGAGAAGTTGGCAAAGTTTGTCTGTGTGCTTAACTTCTCCCAAAAAGTCTCTCTCTGGGTCCCATACTCAGAGGATATGCTTTCAGTTCTGAAATGTATCAAGAGGGCACTCCTGTGTTAGGACTGGCATTGAAAGTCACGTATCATTCACATATCTACATTTGCAACAAAATCCACCTTGTGCAAAACACCATCACATCCATTCCTCTAGTTTAACCTATAAACAACGTAAGGTAATTTTTAGCTACACTTTGCAGATGAACAGGCTCAGTCTGCAGGATTGCCTAAGGCCATGTGACTAGTAAGAGGTAAAGCTTTGACTGTTGAGTCCAGAAGGACACCCCATCCTGTGCTTGGTTCTACTAAGCCGCAACGCTTCAAGGGTGCCAAAACGTGCCATGAGAGCACACACCAAACTAGCTAACAAGGTCCACAGGGTTGAAACCACTGTCTTGATCTGATTTGCAGTGAATGTTAGCACTATGATTGACTTATAGGACACATAGAACAAATCTGGGAACTTACTGTTATTCCCAGAGAAGACACTGGGACATTGGGCCCCAAAGGAATTTACCCATCTTAGAGGTTTATGTTCTTGGAAAATTTTTCTTTCAGACTGGAAGACGACAAGGAAATCTCATCAATTGAAGGAAATTCCTTATAAGGAAGCTTTATTCACACATGGGAGAGGATCAGATCCCATTGTAGTTCTGGGTAGTATTTAGCTATGTGCGGTGAACACTTTTGAGGGATGTGTGTGTAGTGAGGCAGGGTAATGGTTATACACTTTCTTCAACTAAACCAAGAAAGTTGTATCCTTGGGATTAGAAAGGGGATTATCAAGTTAGATGTGCAGTTCAGGGAGAAATAGGAAGGCCACAGGTGGGAAAACTCTAAATAGACTGTGAATTGAGATTATTTGGACAAACCAGATTACTTAGGGACCTTGACATGGATTATATCCCTGTGTCTTTGGTGCTCAGAAAATAATCCAGGGTGAGATCTGAATACAACTCCAACACTGTGTCACCATTCCTGGAAAATGGACCAATTCCCTTTCCTTGTCTTGGAAATAGCTGGTCAAAAAAACGACACAATTTTTTTAATTTTTTTTTTATTCATTTTCTTTCCCAGTTTGTTGACACCTCTTCCATTCACAGGCAACTGCTCAAGTGTATTGGGAAACACAGTTGTGTATTGTGCAGTTGACTGGCCTGATGGTGGTGGTGCTCTGGCTGGGATGGAATGCTGCTAGGGGGGCTAAGATGAAGACGAGTCAAAGAAATTGTCAGCTCACAGGTTAGCGAGCAGCCAGTCCAGCAACTGTTTCCTGGCCACCTTTCCCACGGCTTCATCCAGTTGCCGTTCCTTGGCAAACTTCATGACCTCTTGAAGAAGACCTCCTACACTGTACCCCTTCTCTGCTGCTTTAGCTGAAACCTGAGGAAGCTGTGGGGAAAACAGAGCTAGTGTGAGCTGCGTGATGCTTTTTAGAGGAAAGACCTGCTGGACAAAGTGAACTAACACCCTTCTACCAGCCAACCCCCTCAACTCCTAACCTCCTCACCCACACCCATCACCTTCCCGCCCATGATTCTAGGATTAGGGTACAGCATGTCATAGATCCATGACTAGAGGCTGCTGACACATCTTTCCTTTTTCCTTGAACCTTCTTTAATGTCATAGATCAAAATGCCAAAGATAGTTTATTTTTTGAGCTTCAAAAACACACTCTGAAATTAGTTGTGTTCATTAAATACTTTTCACCAGATGCTGGACCCTTCAGTTAGTCTGTGCTGATTGCTAGGTCAAGGTTTGGGGTTGCCATTCCCCCACCTCCCTAAAAAAGTATGAGACTTGGAGTACAGAGGATTGTCTGGCCTTGGCTCCTGGACTGAAAATAAGTTGGTTAAGTATTTGATGTTTCTGGAATCCATCTAATGCAGGAAACCCAGCTGTCAGGTAGGGGTGTGTGTGTGTGTGAGAGAGAGACAGAGACAGAGAGAATGTGCATGTGTATGTGTATGAATGTATGAATGCTGGCCTCCATGGAATCTGAGGAGCAGGGCCAGGACTAGGGTCAGGCAAGTGAGGCAACTAGGGCATAAAATTTAAGGAGACAGGACTCTCAGGGCACTTGCAGGACCCATGAGTTTGGGGGAGGAGCATAGGGAAAATAGTAAGAGACAAGTTTCAAACTGTTTCTGGTAGGTCAAACACAAAATTAGTCCATGATACTTCCAACACCTCAAGAGGGAGGGAGGAACTCCATTTTCCTTTTTTGTTCCCTCCTCTCTAGAGTACTTTGGGGGATCTTAAAACTGAAAACATGAGACTTAATCATTCCCTAATGTTTTACCAGATAGTTTGTCAAAAGGGTCACTGATGAAATGCGTTAATCTCACTCTCCTCCTCTTGGTGGAAATGCACAGGCCTTGAGGTGCCCATTTAGCTAGTGGTTCACCATTTTTGTGTCTTTTTATGAGGTGAAAGTAATTCATGAAGCACACGGTAAAGAATAGACTTGAAACTGGAATGATCTTGGGCTCAAAGTACAATGCTGCCTCCCTGCCTCTGCCCATTCCAACTTTCTTTTTGTGCCTTAATGCATTACTTACCTTTTCCAGTTGTCCATCCTTGTCTCCCATGAAGTAGAGCATGGGCACGTTAAACTGGGAGGCTGCAATCCACTGCAGGACAGCCTGGAGCTGCTTCTGCAAGTTATTTGTAGAGCACTGATTATTGACAATTACTTCATGTCCAAGAGAGTCTTGATAGTTCTGTGGCATTGCACCGCTGTGAATGCATCTGGTGCCCCTGAAATTGGGCTTATCTGCCGAGGCTGCTTGTTCTTCCAACTCAGCAAGGGCTGCCCCATCGTTGCTATACTTAGCCATGATAAGGCAGAGCTTCATCACAGATTCTACCAGTTTATCTATAAATTGCCAGTTCACTTGCTTCATCCCACTGATAAAGTCAAGTTCTTGATGGTCCTGGCATTGTTCTTCCCCTTTGTCAGATCTCTTGGACATGTAAGTTGCTTTGCTTACCCTGGGCTTAGAATGCTTGTTCTCACCTTCGCATGGATCCTCACATTTGAAGGGGTTCTCATTAAGCAGTTTCTGAATCAGCATTAGAACGATGTTTGACATATCCATTTTCTGGGAGTCCAGGGGTTGGTTCTCCTTTTGACAGGTGGATGGTCCAGGGGCTCTGTGAGATTCTAGGTGTTTCACTGAAAGTGCTTTGGCACTTTGGCCACCTCCACACTTTTCATATTGAGTACTCTGAGCCATGTAGCCCATGGTGGAACCAGGACAGTCTTCTCCACATGTATCTTTGCCCTTAGTCTGCTGGGTCAGATGGTACTGGATCAGCTTAAGGGCAGAGACAATCAGGTCCTTGGCCAGTGAATCTGTGGAAGCATTGATCTTTTCTCCTTTCTCATCTTTATTGCTGCATGCTTTGGTAGCCACCTTGCATGGGTTTCCTTGCTTTTGGTTCCAGATGGTCAGGCCCTCCTTGAGAATGTGTTCACCGACTTTCTCAGCACTAGTCAGCGTCTTGCATGGGTCTGATTTCATTTTGCCTTTGTCCCTCCCTTTCATTTCAGCTTTCATGGTGGAGAATTCAAGACTCTGGTTCCTGCATTTGGGATCATGGGACCCAGCTTTTAAAGATGCATATGACAGACTCTGAGACTTAGTCTCCTTCTCCTCACCAATAAGTGCACTGACCAAGCGCTTCAGCATGGCCTCCATGATGTCTGCAGCATTTTGCTTCCATTGGTTGAACAGATTTCTCTTGACAGCTGAGACAAAGTCTGAGTCAGTCATCAGGACCCCAGTAATATTATGCAGGTTCTTCATGCAGGAATCAATCAAATCGGACACAATCTCCTTGGTGTGCCTTAGCAACACCCTCTTCAGGACCACACACGCTGGAATTGGCTTCCCAGAGCTGTGCACTTTCAAGGTCTTCATGACAGAGACCATCATGTCAGATGCCACCTGATTTGCATAAACCATGAGCCCCTTGCTGATGGAATCTGCAAATTCTTTGCTCTCTCTCTGGGACATCTGTTTGTCTCCACTTTTGCTCTTGTTGGATAATTCACTATATAGAAAGCTTTTCTGGCCACCTTCCCTGGACTCCTCCTCAGTGCCACGCATTTCTGCAGCGGTCAGTTCCACAGCTTCATGGGCCATTTCAGAAGCAATCTTGCTCACAGCAGTTTGGGGACTGATTCTCTCTTTGTTCCTAGGGGATGGATAGATTGAATGATGAAGGCATTTGCTTCTACCTTCCAACTTCTCCTTGATTTCCTTATGGGCCATCTGGATTACCAGAGAAGATAGTCGGTTGACATAGAAGGAAAGGTCATCTATAGAACATTCTCCATCAGGGGAAATGACTGCTCTCTGAGCGCTAGGAGGTTTGGCTGGAGGAGCTGATGGACTTTGATTATTGTTGGTGTTTTTAGCTGCTGCTATTTCTAGGCGTAGGTTTTGAGGTCTGTTCATCAAATAATCTATGTTCACTTGATCAGCATAGACACTGTAGCAGTTCTCAGAGGATGCTGTGTGATATTCGCCCTCTGTGTCTCCTACTTTATGTTTACAGGTAGAGGTTGAGGGGCTCAATGCATGTTGGAAACCCAAGGCATACTTCTGGAGATCACTGAGAAGCCAGTTGAGGACACTTACGGGATCAGAGGGAGCTTGTTTGAAAAGGCACACAGATCCCTCCGTCTAAAAAAAGAAGAAGACCTATCCATAAGAGTTTGGGTAGGCTATTTCTTTCCCTTATTTTATTTAGAAGATGTATCAGATTAGGGATTTGACCTTTTAGAGTTTGTATGGGAACATAACATCCAGTTATATCCATTAGTACACATTCAAGCAGAAGTGGCAGCAACAAAAGTTCAAAGTATATACATGTGTATACTTAACTATATACAAGTGTTATCAATATATGTCTGCCAACTCATATGAATATGTTGTATCTCAATGGGTCAAAAATGTGTCAGTATGTCTGTTGTGTGTGTATATATGCATGGAAATATAGCAGTTAACATGTGTGAACATCTCAATAGATGTGAGAATGTGCCATTCTGTATTGTTAGTGTGTGAAAATGCACCTCTGTGTGTGTGTGCACATGTGTGACTGTGTCTAAGCATGTGTAACAATGTGTTGACATCATTACCTATTGTATATGTCTATTGTATAGGCTGACATGTGCATGTTAGTATGCATATTTGTACATGTGTGAATGTCAAAATATGAGTGTCTATGTCTGTGTGTCTCTGAATATGTAAATGAGTCAATTTGAGTAATCTGCATATATGTGTGTATATAAATTCACTAGTATGTATCATGCAGCTATAAATGCATTTATATATGTTAAAGCATAAATTAATATATTAACACACACATTAATGTAAGATACAATTTTAATATATTAATGTATATGTATGTTAAAATATGAGTATGTGTAAACAGGTGATTGTATAATGACTATGTATATTCATAAATTGGGTATCAATTTATGCTATATTTATATGTCAATGCTTGACCATGTGTATGTCAATGTTGTACATACCCTGGTATTTGAATGTGTGTGTGAATAGGTGTGTTATTGCATTTGTGTCAACAGTGTATGTATCAATGCATACAAACAAGTGCATTAGTAAATATGTGTCACTTAGTGTAAGTTTGTGTGTATGTCAGCATGACTGTGTATGACCATATATGTCTTTGCATAGATATGTATATTTATAAGCATGTATACCAATAACTGAGTCTGCATGGTCACTATGTTTTGATCAAGTCTTATGCATGCAATGTGTGTGAATGTATGTTCATGCATTGTGTAATATGGATGTTTATGTGTGTTGTGTGTGGGCATGTCACTGCATCTGATGCTGTATGACTTTGTATATATTTGTATATGTGTGTCATTATTTATGATCAGATTAAGTTTGCTACATCAATGCTTATGTGTGTCAATATCAAATGTAGCCAAGCATGTATTTATCATTGCTTGTATAAATTTTTTTGTAAATGTATATAAATGTATATGTTGATGTGTGTATCATTTTGTATAAATTTATATGTGTATATCTATGCCTGTGACTGTGTATGCCCATGTCCAGATATGTGTATATGTACTATATACACATATTCCACCCAACACTAACTGCCAAGCCCTCTGCTCCTTCTATTGCTTCATCTCCTCTCTTTTCACTGAATTTCTAGAAATGTGAAGTCATGATAAAGTCAACTTTTTGCAAACGAGCTTAAGTTACAATCAAGCAGATCTGCACTGTATGTAGGAAACATGGGCTGCTTTTCCAAAAATCAATGCCAGGTATAATTTATCCCTTTCTTAAGACTCCAAAATTGAGTTGGCTATACCCAAGTAAACTGAAAACTCTTTGGATACTGTAATGTAAACTTGTTTTTCCTTCCTTAGGGGCCACTCCTTTCACTCCAAAGGAGTCTGGGGTCAGAAATAATGTTTTGGTTATAATATGAGCCTAGAGACACAGAACAAGAAACATTTGACTCCTGTGCATTAAAGTCAAATATCCTGTCCCATTACCAGCCACTCCAGGCTTGTAGGCATGAGAGGGTGACTTGTTGTATGCTCCAGTGCCCTCCCAAAGCCAGAACCCTAACAGATGTAATTTTGGATACTTAAACAAAACCAAAAGGAGTTTGTATGTCACAGTGGCATGCAAGTCTAATTGCTTCTAACTTTAAGCTACTCAACAGCCTAGGTAATCTCTTAGACAACAGGGTAAGGACGAGGCACTCAAATTCTTGCTGGTTACGGATTGTCTCTGCTCCATATCCCTCTTTCTTCCTTGCTGGATGCTGGGCAATGTGGGGCACACAGGTCCATTACCAACCAGCAAAGAACATTACAAATAGTCTTGCGTGATTCTGATTGGACGGGTAGCTGGAAATCAGGAGAGGGCATTCTGAGCCTCTGTGATTAGTGCCATTATTAAGTACCTGTGTGTTGAACTTACTGTGGTCTTGAACTTAGGCCTGTGTTCTCTAGAATGTCATAGTATTCAAATTGATGAGCCTGTTTGACAGTAGTTGTCTTACCATGTCTGATCCAGAGTCTGCAGACTCATCATTGAGCTCTGAGAATAGAAGTGGTGGAATCTCAGAGGCTAAGTGTACCTTAGACTGGTCTTTCTTCTCAGTATCCTTGATCACGATAATCTCTTTTTCTTCCAGATTTCCCAGGTTTAAGTTGCCTTCTGAGCTGGAACCAGCAGCATCCTATGGAATTAAATGGTGAGATTCTTAAACAGTTGCTTTTGGAGATTTCTCCAAGCTGCCCCACCTAGGCTATTACTTCAAATTGTGAATGTTATGACTTCCTTTATCTTTTTTCTTTCTGCAGGAGAGGTAGGCTTCTGAGGCTATCCAGTCTTTGAAGAATGAGATGACTTTCCCTCCACAAATTACTACTCCCCACTCTGAAGATGCTCACAAAGCCATCAATCTCAAGAACCATATTCATCACCCTTTAGATGGGTTTTTTTTTTTTAATAAAAAATAAAAAACAACTTTTCTGACGTGCTGTCTTCCATGTTTTATCTTTATCAGCCCTACCAGCAACTTAAGTGGCTTCTAAAATGAGACTTGATATCAAGAGTGACAGTAAATTCAGAACCAGGGATCTTGGGCTCATGAGAATGCTGGCTTACCCCCTGAGTCCCCTCCACCTTTCCCCTCTCTCCCCCAACATTTTCCATTTTTCATATTTCACTGATAACCCTTCTCAGCAGCTTCTGACCGATTCCGACTCTAAGCAGAGAATACGCACCTTGTAATCTTTATCTTCTACATTCAGGGTGGACACGTCGACAAAACATATCTGCATCAAATTAGAAGGGTGAATTTAGAAAAACTCTAGAGAAAGGGGCATAATTTCTCTTTCTTGGAGATGATAATAGCACCTACCTCAGAGGGTTCTTGTGAGGATTAACTGAGACACTATATGGAAAGCATGTAAAAGCAGATTTCCTGGCACATAGTAAGTACCCAATAAATGTTAATACTGTGATTATTGTTAGGCAGACAGAATCTTAGCATTAGTACATTTCTTAAAGGAGAATACCAACCTCCTGTCAGAGCGAGGCCCAAGGTACAATATCCACATGTATTAATTGAGAAAACTGAGAAGAGAAATGGCTTGCCCAACTGACAAACTTAAATGTGGAGCTTATATTAGAACTCGATTTTCCTGGCTTCCAGTTTAGGGCACTTGCTACTACACTAGTGTTTCTCAAAATTTATTTTATTATCATTAATATAGAATATTTTAAGTAGTATATGGATAAACATTTCTGCATTTAATACGCGAATTTTATTGTGCATTAGGGAGAATACATACTAGAACATCAAACCTGGGATATTATAGATAATATTTCTTAGCATGATTACAATTTTTAAAATGTAAGTCAATTTTTAAAACATTGTAAAAATACAAATTAATTAAATAATAATATGTGTGGCATTTGAACATGATTGAAGACTGTGAAGCCCTATGAAATTACTCGAAGTTTGGGAAATAGACCATGAAGCATTTTGCCCTCCTGAGGGGTCCTAGGGTAACATTGTTAGCTAGGCAATATTATTATGACTTAAGAGGTCTTAACTAATAGGGGCTGGTTGCTAGGCAACCACCACTCCTCCCTCCCCTCAGGCTCCTCCCCAGCCTCCCCTCCCTAGGTCCTTTACATCACACCACACCCTGCCCCTCCCTTGATTTTTATCTCTGTGTGATGTATGAGCACGCTGGCCCCTGACAGACCTTGTTGAGCTTGGTTGCTTGGAGAAGTCATGGTATCATCGTCCATTAGTTTATCTTGGGTCCCAGGGATATCTATACCCATATGCCAATTTTTCCTACTCCTCGGCATGAGTCATTTTTTATCTTACCACTTTCCGGTCCTGATCTTGTTGTCCTGCTGGGTTGTAGAGATCTACCTTGCACACACCCCTGTGGCTGCGTAACCAGTCAATATCATCAGACATCTGGAAAAAGAAAGAAAAGAAAGCTGAAATGCTTAAATATGGTTTTTGGAAACCGGATCAGTTTGGATAAGAATCTCTGGAGGGGTTCTGAAATCCACTTTTGTGTTTCATATATAGGTTTAGGCTAGGGACTGGTGGGGCGAGCAGTGGGGGACACATTAAGATGTTTGAACTTGATGCTCAGGATCATTATCTTTTAGCAAAATCCATAGTCTCCTTTAATTTAGACTCCCCACACCAAGTATTTGGAATCATGAGAGTATGATGACCTGGGAATCAAATTTAAAAGGAAATCTAGTGACTTTGGGGATTACATTTAGTGATTTACTTCTACCCAACTCTACTAACTAAATCTCTCTGATCTCCACATTTCTTTACCCCCTCGAGTACCTTCAAAAAACTCCAGCTCACGTTACCCCCTCTAACTTAATTCTAGCTAACTCCAGTTCAACCAGTCTTTCCCATTACACTAAAGAAAGTGAAATTAGATAAACAGCTATAACACATCACTCAAAGCCATTGGAAAAGACTAAAGTCAATAGCAGTAAATAAATAGCCCTTTTATTAAAACAACATATACAATTTCAATATATAGAACAAGATTCTGAATGGTGAGAAAACCCAGTCTAATAACCATAAATATAACACCAAGAGACAGAAATCTGAGAGAAGACCAGACCCTGATCCAATAGGATCAAATTTAATTTATTTTAGAAAGAAAAAATAATCTCTGCCAACTTCCTTCCACCATCACCCCGCCCCGGCCACCATCTCCCAACCCAGTCTGGAACTAAAAGTAAAAAGGAAATGACAGAAGCCAGTGACTGATTTTTGCTACGTAAGACCTGAGATTTATACTCAGAACACACAGTTAAGAGCTCAGTAGACTTGTTTTGGTATCTGGGGCTTGAATTTGATTTCTTTTCAAATTTTAACCAGAGAAATCCTTTTTGCCAAGTGTTAGAGGGCTATTGAATTCCCCTTCCCACCCTCCCCACTCTCACTCTCCCTTCTGCCCCTCCCCTCCCCTCTCTCCCCACTCCTCTCCCTCCCTCCCCTTCCCATCCCCTCTTTCTCTCCTTTCCCTTTCTCCCCGTTCCCTCCTCCTCCCTCCCCTTCTCTTTCTGCCTTCCTCCTTCTTTCCTTCCACCTCTTCTCTATTCCCCCACAGCATGTTAATAATAGCTATTCTCTAATGGCTATCCTTTCACATGATAATACTACATTCCTGCTCTTTACCATCCCTGCCCACAACCAAGATCTTTTTGAACTCTTCCTTCAGGAATCTCTGTGAAACCTTGAAAAAGTTACAGGAAAAGACTCCTACACACTCTGAAGAGGGAGTTTCTTTTTTTCCAAGAGCTAGATAGAGAACACTAGCCTAGTAAAAAAAGAGGTGGAGGCAGAGTCCCTCATGTGATTCAGAAACAGTGTAAGTCCAAGTCCAACAGAACTGTGAAAAACAAAATTTATGAACTCATTACCTTGATGATGAAGTTCTTTTAGACGTTTGGCTGAAAACGTGACACCCAGAAGGGAGATGTGCCCCTTTAGATGGAACTGAGAAGTGCCAAGTTCTTGGGCACCTGCAGTTGGCTGCCACCCCTGCCAGCTGTTGGACCAGACTGAGGGGCCAGGCTTTCCCCTGCTGCCTCTGACCCTGGGGTGTGGCAACAGAGTTTGTTGGGTCACAATGCCTGAAACTGTCACAACCTAAGCAAAGGTGGGCATGTTGGCAAACTCAGTAAACTATTCCCATCAAAAGCACATCAGGCTGCCTGCTGTGGGACAAACTTTTTCTAGTATCTCCATGAGGGTACACACTATTTTTCTTACGTTTTCTCCGGCTCACAGTCCATCAAGATAGCCCTTCTCTTTTCATTTCCTGCTAGACCTCCAGAACAATCTAATCATATCCCTACTAGAGAATCAGAGTTATGTTGCAAGAGATCTTTAGACTTACACAGAAACAGAGAAATGTTAATCAAAATCTTTTCTGGGTATCCCAAATAAAAGTATGAAAATAGAAACTTGGAGGCTGCCTTAGCAGCTTCTGTAGTTTCACGTCACCATTAAGATGCCCCCCTAGCTAGTCAAAAAGAAGTTAGATGTCCCTACCGTTGTAGTATCAGAGTAGGCCATCATGTAGGACCCTGGAATGATGTTTTCTTGTCGATTTGGATGCTGTGATGACTCTTCCAGTCTGCCTCAAGATACTGCTCTTCAACTCTCCATGCCCTCCTACAGCTTTGACTGCCAGCTGGTACCAGAGTTACTTCTTCATGATATCACTGTTTCTAGAGAGAACAGTGACAGCACAAAGTTGGAGGGCTCTAAGGATTCTGTGTGCTCTAAGTGGTCTAGCAGGCTCTGACCTTCCCTATGAGAAATAAGTTGTCCAGAGAAAGGCTGATCTAGTTGAGACAGGGTCTCTTTTACAGACTCCTTAGGCCGTGAAAAGACTTAAGCTCCACTTAATCTTTTCAATCTGGTCAGTGCTGGTTTGTTGGCTACAGTATGTGTTAGAGGTTTATCCATCACACTTTGAGATGCCTTCATCTCATCTTACTGAGTTTAGCCCCAGTTTGGAAATATTATCCCACAACCAAATGGCTCTTACTGTGCCCAAGTCTCGTCTTTCCTTGTCTTTCCTCCACATCTCCACTTTAATACTGCATACACGTAAATAAATGTATCTGAATTAACAATCAGTTGAGATGATCCCCTAAAAGAGTTCCATACTCTTGGTTCTACCTCCATTTATTCTTTTTCCTGTTGCCCCTGAGATTGCATCTTCTAACTCTGCTATATGATTTTGATCCTGTTAGCTCATGGTGTCAAAGAGAAACAGAGCCTGGAATTTGTTAGAGGTGGCAAGACAGATTTTATTCAGGCCACTGCGATAGAGGAGAGAGACTTCTGATGAACAGATGTCAACTCCACTGAAACAAAAGGCAGGGTGTGCTAAGGAAAAGTACCGAAGGACATTGAGTGGGGGTGAGCTTGGTCAATGTATTGGGGCATCTGTGTTTGCTAATGGGTGCTTATTAAGTTAGGTTCTCTACGTTCACAATGTCAGTTTTATAAAGAAAAACATAATTAAGAACTATAAAAAAAGAAATGAGATAAACAAAGTAAAATCAAAAAAAGAAAAGAAGAGAAAAGAAAGCTAAGCTCCTGCCTTCCCATAGAGACAGGGAGACATGGACCTTGTTTTTCTTGATCATTACATTACAAAGGGATGGCTTCCAGGTTATTGAGAAAGACAGTCCTGGGTTGTAGAAGATACATCTTAAAAGAAGAGAGAAATAATTTACAATTGCAAGTTTTCTAAAGTACACGCTGTAAGGAAAGGGAGTCAGGGGCTGTAGTCAGGTTTTGGTCTGAACAAACAGTAAATTCTTTTGGCAGCAATGAACTGTCTCAGGAAGGCATTTGAAGGGGGGGGCTAGGATTGTCATCCTAGGGAAATGGCCTTTTGGCTGCATTGAATAGTCTCAGGAAGGCATTTTAAAGGGGCTGAGGTTGTCATCCTAGGGAAATGGCCTTGAGCTGATAGAAACTATGCTAGTGTTTGTTCAAGTCTCTTAGTGTGTGTATGTGTTGGGGGCAGGTGAATGAAATTGCGCTGAAAGTTGCAGTTCTTATAGGCCAAAGTTGAGGCCTAGTTGAGAAATGGGCTCAGAGAAGCCTGACTAAAGTTTGGTCATGAAGAGGGTCTTTATTGCTTTTTCCTATACCATCCTTTTGTCAAGGGGCAACTTTCGATGATTAAAGACAAAGTTGGAGCTCCTGTGTCTGGCTCATCCCTGTGGAATATGAAGCAAACGAAGAAAATGTTTACATATTCTCCAAACACAAGAAATCATCTCTCTAAGAGATTAAAAACAAAACAAAACAAAACAAAAACAAAAATTCTGTGTCTCGCAGCCCAGAAAGGAACAACCATGATTCATGCCTAGAAAATGTCTTAGTAATCCCCAAATGACCAAGAGAGAACTACTATGGATGATTAGAGCACTCTCCCAGAGCACCTAAATCCTGTCATCCTGGAGGCTAACCAGGAGCAGGTAAGAGCAGCATTTGGATGTGAAACCAATGAGCAAAATGTAAGGGAAGAATCAAGGCAGACCTGGCTCAGTCATAGGTCACAGTACATTTACTGCCTCTTCTTTCTCTTCATGAGGCTCTCAAATTGGTCTGTACTGAGTAGAGGGGGTGGAGGGCAGGTAAGGGATAAGGGATGTTCAAACAGTCAAAGTAAGGAATATATTGTATTAGTGTGTGAATACATGTGAATAGTCTGCACTTAGGTTTGCCTTTAAGAGCCAAATATAGAGATATTAAACACAAAAGCCTTGGTCATCATTTTTTTTTTCTAAGCACCATCATCTATTTTGTAACCTTGTTTATTCTACCCAAACATCTTCTCTTTCACACAAACTTGTGAATAATTGTGCAAATCAACACTTTAAATACACTCTCAATTTGCATTTGGCTAGAAAAAACTATGAAGATAATAAAAATGGGACCTGTGTTTATAACATTATCATGAATAATGGCAAAAGGAAATTGAATGAAGTGAACCATCAGCCTTCATGAAATCACTGTCTGGTAGTCTTGCTGGGTATCTTCCAATCTCAGATTTACCCTACCTTTTATGTGATGACACAATGATCATTTAGAAAATGGGCAGTGATGCCAATGATTATCAGACATCATTTACTGTGTACCAATATAATTGGAAACACCACTTCTTTTTCTCCTGATTTGTTTTCCTGCCATGAGAGTGCACACTGACATTCAGAGCAGCTTCATGCAACCAAAGTGAAAAATTAGTCATTTTGAACATCTTGGCAATGGTACTGTATAATTACTTCTGTCAAGTATTTGTGTTTTGTCTGCATTGTACATATTTGTTCTTTCCTATGAGTGATTGGAGGAGTGGAGGGGGAAAATAAAGGACTTTTAAAGGCTATAAACATTATCATAAAAAAATTTCAGGGGGCAACTGCTAAAGATAAGTGGAGTCTTAGGTATGTTAGGGGTTCTTTTATAGGCAGGGGCTTAATTAGGCAGCTAAAGTTCTGTTCCATAACCTTGTGGTAGAAAATGACTTATGGCTAATTTTGAGGGGTGGACTTGGCTTGGCAGTGGCTATTTCTGGTCAGGCTCTTCCCCTTTATAATTATGAAATTTCCTTCCCCTGATTTCCTAGAACATTTGCTTATTGTCAGGATAATTCATCTGACATTTACTACATCTGACCTTGTGGAGTTAATTACCTTTTCCTATTCCTAGATTACTTACATTACAAGCCTAGAAGGTTATCTATCTCTTTTCCATTGCATCCACCACAATACTGGGCACACAAGTGGGCTCAAGACACAAGGTTCTGGAATTTTTAGGGCAGGAAACATAATTCGGAAATCACAGCGTCATGAGAGCTGTAAAAATGACTAAAAAATTTGGTTAGCTATCTGAGTGGGCAGGTTTCTTTCTCAGAGCAATAATTGTCACACTTTGGTGTGCATCAGAATCACCTGGAGGGCTTCAGTTTCTCATTCTGCGGGTTTGGAGTGGGGGCTGAGAATTTACCTGGTACTGTGTATTACATGCATTATCTCATTTAATTCACGCACAGCCTTATGAAATGCCTACCACTTTAATTATAAACGACTAGCTCGCGCGCAGAGGCCACGTGACTGGTGGGGTGCTTGGGAGCACTGGCCACTTCCATCGTCTTGGGAGTTGGGGGGCGTGTGTCTGTGTGTGTGGTGATTAATATGCCTTTTATTTCATTCAGGGTCTGGAGATAGAAGAGAAATTCCCTGAGAAAAAGAAAAGTAGAAAGGTACCTACTCTGATCTTCTGGCCCCATCTGGTGGTTTCAAGTCAGACTTTAAAAAAAAAAAAAAAAAAAAGCGCTGATTCGTGATCTCCCCCTGCTGGTGAGAATGGTGGGGTCAGTCCGGCCGCCTCTCGTACCGGTTATGCTGATATGCGTTTCTGTGGAAGCTTTTCCGTTATTCTGAGGCAGTTGGGCTGAGGCGGTTGGTCCCCTCTCCCTCTGTCCCTCATCTACATTTTGATTGGCTTATTTTTGTATTGTTTTCTTTCAGTTTCCGATTGGTGGAGAACTTTCTACTAAAAGCTTTTGTTCCAGTCCATCTGTGGCGTGTTAAAGGTACAGCGTGTATTGTCAGTCGTGACGACAGCTTTTTGCCTTGTATATTGATTATGTATTATAAATACAGAAATATATCCTGTGTCAGGCTAGAGATGTGGGAGGAAAACTGGCTGAGGGAACTAGCCTTTAATTAGTTTATTTCCTCCCTGTCAAACCAATAAACTTGTCTGGAACATCTGACAAAATAACCTTTAAAAAGTACTTCAGGCCGACCGTGGTGGCTCGCGCCTATAATCTCAGCACTTTGGGAGGCCGGGGCGGGCGGATCGCCTGAACTCAGGAATTCGAGACCAGCTTGGTCACTATGGCGAAACCCCGTCTCTACTAAAAAGACAAAAATTAGCTGGGCGGGGTGGCACGCGCCTTTAGTCCCAGCTACTCGGGAGGCTGAGGTGGAAGAATCGCTTGAAACTGGGAGGCGGGGGTTGCAGTGAGCCAAGATGGCGACACTGTACTCCAGCCTGGGTGACAGAGCAAGACTGTCTCAAAAGAAAAAAGAAAACCCTTAAATATACTATTACTTGGTGACAAAATCTTTATCCTGCCCTGCAGATAGTATATCAGTGAATGAATGTTTTAAACATTACAGTTGGGCGCAGTGGTTGCGGCAGGAAGATGGCTTGAACTGCTGGAGGTGAGGTTGCAGCGAGCCAAGATGGCGCCACTGCACTCCAGCCTGGGCGACAGAGTGAGACTCTGTCTCAAAAGAAAAAAAATATATATGCTATTACTTGGTGACAAAATCTTTGTCTGCCCTGCCAGATAGTATATCAGTGGACAGATATTTCAAGCTTGTTACAGTTTAGGCCTGGTTGGCAGGAGAGATCGCTTGAACTTTGGAGGTGAAGGTTGCAGAGCTTCAAGATGGCGCCACTGCACTCCAGCCTGCGAAACAGAGTGAGACTCTATCTCAAAAGAAAAAATATATATGCTGTTACTTGGTGACAAAATCTTTATCTTTGCAGGACAAAATCTTTATCCTGCCCTGCAGATAGTATATCAGTGAATGAATATTTTAAACATTATAGCTGGGCGCCGTGGCTGCAGCAGGAGGATGGCTTGAACTGGGAGATGAAG